AGCGCGCTGCGGTGGTTGAGTTCCAATTCCGCGGGGAGGGACAAAGGCATCTGCGAGCTGCAGGCAACGCCCGATCGGACCTGGTGGTGCGCTCGCCACTGTCCTCCGTTCCCTGCCTTGCACCTAGGACTTACTCCTCTGTCAGGAGCGAGGAGGTGGCCACAGGACCCAGGCCTGGCAAGGCCTGAGGGCCCGAGGCTGTCTTCTGAAGGGAGTGGGGGAAGGGCGCGCCTGAGGTGATTCGGGAGAGGGTGTGTCTTGTGAGGTGTTTCTGTGGGCCACTGTGAGTAATTTCACTCACCACCTGTGGTGATTGTGGCATAATAGCAAGCTGTGTTGGGACGGGCGTGGGAAAGGAAATCGTCAGTCAGCACCAAGGACCTTTCAGTTGGGAAGCGGTGAAGCGGGAAATAGCATCCACTCCACCGCACTGTCCAGTAGAACACCTACCTGAGGAGCCTGGTGTCTTCGGTGGTCATGAAGTCTCCCGTGGTAATGACGTAGGTGAACCGTCAGCTTTATGACAGAAGTAGGCCAATTTCCTGATTCTTTTCAGGAAACCTAGGAGAACAGAAAAGGACTCGAAGAACGTGAAGATGAAGCTCCAATAAACTGCCGACTTTGAAGACCGTACAGAACCATTCACTTTTGACGCGTAGGAATTGCATGAAGGAAGCTTGACCTTCACAGCTCTTAAGGACTGTAGGTTTAGGATGTAGTTCTTAACAAAATATTACACATAGTCACTGAAATACTTAAATTACTTGCAATTTCAAATATCTGACTATATTTTGGATAGATTATTAGGGAAGTTTTGTTTTATGTGTCACTAAGAAGCACAAATTTACCCTTTACTGGACAGAACCCTGGGGAAATCTATTCTGATATATGTACTTCCCTGTTAACGATTAAAGACTGAAGACTCATTGCAGTCATGGCCTTCACCAATTACAGCAGTCTCAACCGAGCTCAACTAACCTTTGAATATCTGCACACAAATTCGTAAGTATCCTGTAGGTGCCACTGAGGTAATCAGTAACTCCTCCTTGATGTTAATAAGGAAATCCTTTCTCCAGAAAATTTTCCTTTTTATTCTTTGGCATGTGTCATTCGAGTGAGATGTATCACTGGATGTCTTGGGCGCTATTGAAGAACTGAGATCAGTGAAATATTTGTTGCTAATCTAGAAGAAAATGATTTTCACTTACTGGATCAAAATTTTCTAAATGCAAACTTTATATGGAGTCAGTGTATTGAGTTGTTTCATCCAAGTGTTTAGTAGGAATCCAACAAGGGATCGCCAAATTTGGACCATCTAGTATCAACTGTTGCACATCTTTAGTGATAGCCTAGACAATTGGGTTTATAACAAGTGTTTCTAACAACAACAACAACAAGATGATGATGACATGTAAATGACCAACTTGGAAGAAGAAAGCTGCTATTTTTCAGCAAACTATTGGCTTTATCATTTTGGCAAATTGTTACTCTATCCAATATAGTTTGCATATGCTAAGCAGGAGTAGAGATTGCTTTAAAACCCTTGATTTAGATAGTCTTTCCCCAAAATATGTTAAATCACAGAAACATGCTGTGTTCTTGAGTAAGAGAAGAGATTCACATATTACAATTCAGTGTGGAATAGTTTAGGGCTATTATTTGTTTGTTTATTTTGAAGACAGGGTCTCTCTACATAGCCCTGGCTGTCCTGAAACTGACTATATAGACAGGGTTGGCCTGGAACTCAACAGAGAACTGCCTGTCTGCCTCCCAGGTGCTGGGATTAAAGGAGTGCACCATCATACCCAGCTAGGGGCAGTTCTTAAAATCCTTCATTAAGTTACCTTGTGGAGCAAAAAAATCTAGTTAAAAACACTCACCTGTCACTTTTGAGCTCAAAGTTAAGTATCCTATTGGAGTGCTGGGATGAGGAGCTAAATGAGTAAATGGTGCAGTTAGTAGAGAACCATTTGCAGATTAGAGAGCATAGACTTCAGTTATCCTGTAATTGCAGTGATTTTTAGCCTTTTGTGATTCCATAATACTTTAAAAAATCTTTTCTGAGCTGGGTAGTGGTGGTGCCTGCCTTTAGTCCCAGCACTTGGAAGGCAGAGGCAGAAGCAGAAGGATCTCCGTAAGTACAAGGCCAGCCTGCTCTACAGACTTGAGTTCCAAAACACCCAAGGCTACAATCTTGACTCAAAAAAAACAAAACAAAAATCAGCTCCCCCACCAAAAATAACCCGAAATCAACCAAACCAAAAAACAAACAAAAAAACTTCTGAAAAGGAAGTAATTTCTTTTTCTGAGCAGTGATTTGTTTAATGCTGAGAGGTTTGATTTTTTTCATTATTTAGGAAGTGGGGTTTTTTTTGTTTTTGTTTTTTATTAAAGTAGATCAGTTTACAGATGGTACCATAGAGATTACCTTGGGCACAGATTGTGAATCTGGAACCTAGGTCACTAATCAAAGATGCTAGCACCGTCTTTGGCTACATTTTCACCGTCTTTTGTATTTGAGTTACATGTTAAGAACATGCAGGTGGAGGGCACTTAAATGTTTATGGCTGACTGTAAATGTCAGCACGTGTGTCAGATTTGAATTTTGGACTGACAAGACAAATTTGGAATTACAGATTTTCTGAAACTTGGAAGACCTTTGAAGACTGCTTCAAAATCTGTCTTCTTGTTGTAAAATCACTACAGATTTTATGCAATAACAGTAGTATCAGCAGTTCATTGCTTAAACCTATACATTGACAGTTATTCTTGTTTTGCATTTGAGAAAACCGAGACTCTTAGAAATTAAGTTGTTTTTAGGCTTACATTGAGGCTGCAGAGGCAAATTAGTGGTACCCAGATTTGGCTACAGTCCTTAATATTTTTAACCATTACACAATGCTGACTGTTGTTACCTTGAACGGTTTCTTTTCTTGTCTGTAAGGCAGAGGACTTAACTTCCCAATTTATATGTCTTCCGTTTTGGTTTATTTTATAAGCTACTGAGGATTATGAATTATTTCTCCTTTTGTTATTGTATTCATTATTAACAGTATGTGGATACTGACAAAGCAAAGAAGTAAACTGAGTTACTCGAATGAGGTGATATTGGAGAATTTTCTATGAATTTTATGTGTTGAATTGGAACTTTGTGCTTGCTTGAACATAGGATTGGCATATCATTTGGAAACTCTATAGAGTTTCTTATCTGGATTACAGATAAGATCTTTGAAATGATTCTACTTTGAATGTGTCTAGTCTTACCAGAAGAAAACATTAACTGTACAACACCACTTAGGCCTTTACTGTGTATACAGCCCAAGCTGGCCTTGATCCTCATGTCTCACTCAGCCTCTTGAGTGCTGGGATTTCTGGTTTAGCCGCCACCATACTAGGTCCTCAACTTAAGTTTTTTGTTTGTAACTAATTTTAAGAGGTTTGTTGGTTTGTTTGTTTGGGGTTTTTTTGTTTTTTGTTTTTGTTTTTGGTCATTATGATGTGACTGAAAGTTCATTCTTAGAGAAAACTAAAATTTTACATGTAATAGTAGAATGTTGAGTGGTTCAATAAATTAACTTCAGAGGAAAGATTGGTTTTTTGGTACCTTCTTTGTTCTGTTAAAATCTTTAAAATGCCACACAATTTCAGATGTTACACCAGCAATATTAACCATATTTTGAATTGTGAAATAAACACTTTATTTTTCCTTTTTATGTAGACTTGCAGGCAGTGACCAGGCTAGAGGAGTAGAAATTTTTTATGGTTTTGTGAAAAGCCTGTACTTAGAAACTCACAAACCCTGTATTTGAATGCTTCTTTTCTGTGCTTATGCACAGGATAGCTTCTTTGAACCTCCATTTCTTCATTTGTAAGATGGATCTAATATGATAGTGTTTGAGGATTATGCCAAATAACAGTTAATTGGTGTTTATTATTTTCTTTGTATTGTTTTATAAAGACCATAACCTAATGCACTCTGCTCATTGGTGTTAGACATTAGAGAAATTTTAAAAAATATTTTCTATGTGTATGAGAGTTTTGCTGTATGTGTGCATATGTACTGTGTGCATGCCTGATACCCACTGAGTTCAGAAGAGGGCATCAGATTCCCTGGAACTAGAGTTAGGGACGGGTGTGGAGCCACCTTGTGGTAACTGGGAGTTGAAGCTGAGTCCTCTGTAAAAGCGACATACGCTCTAAACCTCTGAGCCATCTTCAGTCCCTAACATTCAGAAGTATATGTTGGAGAGGGTAAACAGGTCTTAATTTTTGTGAAAATTAGATCATATGATACTGTTGATGGTTGGTATTCTTGGTGATAACTGCATCAAGGCTGGAAACAAGCTTACAAATTCTCATGATAGCTTGAAAAAAAAATCGTTTCTTTTAATAGTATATATTGCTTTTTATATTATATCTAGTTTTTATATTAAAGGAGTTTTAAGCTCTTCTGTGGTTGATTTTTGTGGCTGCTATTCTTGTTATAGAAGTGGTTCCTTTGGCATAAGATACATTTTTTTTTAAGATTTGTATCTTTTTTAAATTTATTTTTATTTTATTTGCATTTGTATTTTGCCTGCATGTATATCTGTGTGAGGGTGTCAGATGTTGGAGTTACAGACAGTTGTGAGCTGTCATGTGGGTGCTGGGAATTGAACTAGGGTCCTCTGGTAGAGCAGCCAGTGCTCTTAACCCCTGAGCCATCTCTCCAGCCCAAGATTTGTATCTTAAGTCATTTTATTTTATTTGTTATACTTTTATGTAGTCAGGTGATCATAATGCTTAAGTGTAAGGTGACTTTTTTGTCTGTTACCCTTGGAACATTCTGTGACTTTCCTTTGGCATATGGGATTTCTGGGTGGTTTTCTCCATATGAGAAATGAATGATAGGGTCTTATCAAATCAGAGATTTGTGTTTCATATGACTTACAAACCAGCTGAAATGTAGGGTGACCATATATTTGTGTGTGTATATATACATATATGTATGTATGCATGTATATGCACACATACTACTTGAGTGTAAAATAACTCCACAATTGCTCAGCTTTCTTTTAAGTCAGAGATCTCTGCCTAGATTAAAGGCGTGTGCTGCTAGCTTTATTTTCTACTAATTATGGCAGTTAACTATTGTCAATATATTAAAAAACTCGGCAGAAGCTTTCATTGCTATGACATTGTAGACAATTTTTTGGTTTAAATTCAGGTTGGCTAAATAGAGAAATCATTTTCTTTACATAACAAGTAAATCTACATGTAATTTTGTTGCTGGAAATGCTGAGCTGCAAAACTATTCTGGGTCATGTGGTAAGAATCATGATTGAAAGCATCAGAATACATAAAAAGCCTTTGTGTTTTACCGATTGGTTGACTTTGGATATTGTGCAAATGATATTTAGGTCTGTGAAGGTTTGTTTTTTTGTTTTTTTAAATTTAAGACAGGGTCTCTCTATGTAATCCTAGCTGTCATAGAACTCACTGTATAGACCAGGTTGGCTTCAGACTTGGAGATCAAACTGCCTCTGCCTCCTGAGTGCTGGACTCAATAAATATTTTTTAAAATTTTTTTCAATATATCTCAAATGTTAGCTAGCAGCAAGTATAATATTTGCCAAAAAAGAACCTCATGCATTTTTGTGGGTTTTTATGATTTTTAAGAAATATTTAGAACAATGATGTCAACATGATAAGCCCCATCTATCATGTGAGATCCTGAGTATTTTTTCTGACCTTACCAAGAACACAGAAGGCCCTTAAATGATGTGTGCTACTATACAAAAATACTCTTTAGTTATATTTTAACATCTAGGTTGTCTGAAATATGTATGATAAAGTACTGCTAGCAACAAGATTTGGGGATTTTTTTCCCTTAGATCGTATATGTACAAAGCACATTCCTAAACTTTGCATAGAGCACAATGAAATTTTAGCTAGAAGTGATTTGTGCTTGCCTTTTAAATAGCCTTTTAGTAGATTCTAAATTTCTTATTTTTTATATGAAACAGTTGGAAAGACATAGTGGTTTTGATAACTTTTTTTGTTCTTGTGGCAATGGCTGCTGTTATTGTCGCCATAATTCTTATTTACAGTTTTCATAACCAAAGGCCAGAAACCTTTACTTTTTTGGGACAAGGTTTCATGTAGCCCAGGCTAACCTTAAACTTGATAAGTAGCCAAGGATAACCATGAACTTCTAAGATCCTCTTGCCTTCACCTTTGAGTTCTGGGACTATAGACATATACGGTCATACCTAGTTTTATGTTGTACATGTTAGTCAAGCACCATACCAACTTGAGTTACATCCCCAGCCTAGAAATGCCATTTTTTTTTAAGCCAGAAGAGTTTGATGTGTTTTTTTTTATCTGTTTTATAAGTGAATTGATACAACATTCTGATACTAGTTATTCTCATATTCTTAGCTCATATAGTATGTTCTTATCACCATATGCCGGGAGCCCGATTTTTTTGAGATTCATTGACATGTTAAAAACATGTTCATAAGCCAGGCAGTGGTGGTGCATGCCTTTAATCCCAGCACTCAGGAGGCAGAGGCAGGCAGATGTCCCAAGTTCAAGGCCAGTCTGGTCTACAGAGTGAGTTCCAGGCCAGCCAGAGCTACTAAGAGAAACCCTGTCTTGAAAAAACAAAACAACAAAAAATATTCATGTTTAAATAAATGAAAATTATTAAAAATAAAATTGGCTATTTTTTATTTCTACATACCAGTCTGGATTGTATAGAAAATTAATTTGATGTAATTTTCTGACTTACATCAGATATGAAGATGACTGAAAGCTTGATAACAAATATTAGATTCCCTTCCTTAAAAAAAAAAATAATTTCAATCTCTGTAGAGACTATCAAAAATTTCCGTATTTCAAGCCATGCTAAGGTATTGGGGTAGTTTTTAACTAGCAATAATTGCACTAAAGATAAACCTTATTGGCTGATACAACCACTGCTCAAAGTTACATTTCCCTCTTAATAATTTTGTTTTAAAGATGATCTAGCTATCTAGCCATGGCTTGCCTAAAACTTGTTTATTGTCCTCCCTCGGCCTTATGGAATTACAGTTGTGTGCCATCATACCTAGCTGTAGATTGACTTTTTTTGTCTTCTTATAGCACTAAGGATCTAACTTAGGCCTTGTTAGGGGGATCTAACTAGGCAAGTGCTCAGACACTGAGCTACAGACTCTGTCTCTAGATTGACTTTTTTTGTTTGTTTTATTTTTCGAAACAGGGTTTCCATGTAACAGCTCTGGCTGTCCTGGAACTCAATTTGTAGACCAGGCTGTCCTTGAACTCAGAGATCTGCCTGCCTCTGCCTCCCAAGTGCAAGAATGAAAGGTGCGCCAACACCGTGATTGTCTTTTAATTTACATTATCTTTAACATTTCACCTTAATTTTCCAACCTGTCTCAGTGTCTCTTTGTCTCTGGTGAGGATTAATCTAAGGCCAGTGCATGCTGGACAAACACTGTGCCACACACCTATATCCCCAGCCCTCTCCCTATACCAGTGGTTCTCAACTTTCCTAATGCTACAACTTTTTAATACAGTTCTTCATGTTGTGGTGACCCTCAACCATAAAATTATTTTTGTTGCTACTTCATAATTGTAATTTTGCTATTGTTATGAATTGTAATGTAAATATTTTTGGAGATAGAGGCTTACCAAAGGAATTATGACCCACAGATTGAGAACCACTGCCCTATACAAATACAGAGTGGAATATACAGGGCATTCTTTATCCAACTGATAGTTTGGCAAATTTAAAGTAATAGTTTTGAAATTTACTTAATTTTTTTTTTATTGTACCTTATTACATAGTCCAGGCAAGCCTTGAGTTCTTCATCATACTATCTCTTGAATGATGTCTTTATAGGCTCCTGAAATTACAGGCATTGCTACCGTAATTGTGAACACTTAAATATTTATAATAAAGAGATAACTTTTTAAGTCAAGGTTTCTTTTAGAAGTTTGATTCTTTTATGTGAAGTACTTAACATTTGGATTTTAGCCCAAAGAATTTAAGCTCCATTTGGTGATTTAAAAAAAAAAAATGTCTTGCTGCAACATATTTCTTGGTCCTACTGCCTTTGGATTAGCAACAGATATATTCACTGATCTCATGGGAGAACACTTCTTCCTAAAATTTTAGGAAGAGGTAGTTTTACTTATTAAAAGTTTATAGTTAAAAAAAAAATGTTTTTGAAGAGTAACTTTGAGGAAAAGTGGTTTTCCTGGACAGTTCAGTTAGGAGTTTTTATAAACAAATGGTTTACAGTTTGTTTAAAACAATATGATAAGTAGTCAAAGATCTTAAATACTAGGTATTAGTGTTATATTTTGATCTAGATGTTTAGAAAATGTCATTTTGATTATCGACTAAAGCTGAAAAAGCAAGAATAATTTATGAAAGTTGATTATAGTTTGTGTCTTTAACTTTGTATTTCCTTTAAAAGTCAAGCTGATTTTCTGGATAGTTCTGTGTGGATCTGTTCTACTTTATATTTAATGAAGACTGTTATAGAAAATTGTGCAAATTAAGAAGGTCTAAATTGAACACACCTTTTAGCATTTTGCCTGTGTGTTATCTGTACTAGTGAAAAGAGGAAACCCATAGGCTTTTGTGCAGCTCATAAACAAAACTACTTATTTTCAAAGACAGAGATATTACAGATAATTTTAACTTTCTCAGATGTTGGCTAAAACCAGGTTTTTGTCTAGGATCCTTTTTTAAAAATCAAATTCTCCTGCTAGGATAAGAGTTTGTGTGGTCTTCTGGGTATACAGGGCAAATTGACTTTTTAAAGTAGAGGCTTCAGTGGTATCTCCTGGAAGCTTCTGAAAGTTTGGGTTTAGTGAACATACTTGTCATATTATTCAGAACTCAAGATATTTGCTTGTTAAGATGTATGCTTATAATTCCTCCTATATAGAAACCAACAGCTGGTTAAATCAATGAAAGAAAAATACAGGATTTTTTTTTCTTTTCTAGGCAGGCTATCACTACTTTTCAGGTAGGTTTTTCAGTTACAAATAGGAAGAATAAACATTTCTGAGTAAATGGCAGGGCTTGATTTGTGGGGAATTAGCTCTAGAAGAAAGGTTTGTGTTATGAAAAATGTTTACATTTAGTAGTTACATCAGTAATGCGCACAAGGTTTTTAGATGTTTTCTAAACCTTTTAATGTTTATAATCGCAAGACTCATAGTTCAGCTCATACTTCTTTTGTTGACTCTTAAAATTTATTATTTCAGAACCACTCATGAATTCTTGTTTGGTGCTCTTGCTGAACTGGTTGATAATGCAAGGTATGTAGTCTTCCAGCCTATAATTGCTTGCAGTGGGAACTTTATGGATCATCATGATCTTTGCCCTCTGATGACTTGAAAGATGTTTTTGTTGCATTTGTTGCAACTCCTAAGAGACTTGTTAGGAAGAAATATTTTTATTATCACCATAATTGACACTTTTCTTGACTTCCTTAAATTCATTCATTGCTCTTTGTGTTCCAGCCTAAAAATAGGAAACCTACCACTTCCAAACCACCTTCCCTTGTGTATCAAAGCGTGATAATTGTGGAAAGTAGGGAATTAAGATAGGAACTTGAGAGTCAAACTAATGGGATACATAGGTTATAGTATGAATTTGTGCTGTAGAGGCACTATACCACTATGCCTTTAAAACTAGACCAGACTTTTGCATCTTCTCCCAAATACATGTTTTATTGCAAGTGAATACTCCTTAATCAGTATGGGGTTTTTGTTGTTGTGGTTGTGGTGTTTTGGTTCGTTTTTTTTTTGTTGTTGTTTGTTATTTTGAGACAGGATCTCACTGTATAACTCTGGCTGAATGGGTACTCACTGTGTAGACCAGACTGATGTTTAATTTACAGAGATCCTCTGACCTCTGCCTCTCTCGTGCTGTGTGCTATGTGCCACTATGCCTGGTCTAGTATCTTCCATTGTTAGCAGGAATGTTTGGAAGCAATCATGTTTCAGCACTCTTGTGTTGTGCTTTTAGTGTTGGAAGAACATACATATTCCTTTGTAAGACCAAGTAAAAGTAAAAATTCTATTTATAGTTATATTAAGAAAATATTGGGGCTGGAGAGATGGGTCAGAGGTTAAGAGCACTGGCTGTTCTTCCAGAGGTCCTGAGTTCAATTTCTAGCAACCGCATGGTGACTCACAACCATCCGTAATGAGATCTGGTGCCACCTTCTGGCCTCCAGGGATACATGCAGGCAGAGTGATATATACATAATAAATTAATAAATAAATATTAAAAAAAGAAAGAAAATATTGTCTTTGTTTTATTCAGATATTTATTGACTAGTGTTGATAACTAATGGAAGAAGAGGGTAAGAGTTGATACTAGAATTAGAAACTATTTCAGTTAGTGAATTTACTTGTAATTTCTAATGTTTGTACAGCTGACTTATACTGTTAGTACTTTTTGTTTGTGTTTTTGAGACAGGCCTTATTGTACAGCCCAAGATCTCTTGCCTCAGTCTCTTGAGTGTTGGTATTATAGATGTATGTTAACACACTTGACTTTTATTATACTATATGCTTGTTACCCGCTCATGGAAATGTACTAGATGACACATTGTTTCACTACAGAATTCCCATTTAGTTTCAATCCTGATTAGTTTATAATTTTCTCATTAGATTAAAAAATGTAAGTTAATGAAATTATGTTTAAAATATTTGCTAACTTAGTGCAACCACGGTGTGCTGCAATGGCACATAATTTTTTGAATAGTATCTCATGTTGCCCAGACTAGCTTCAAATTTCTTTTGTAGTTTGAACCTTAAACTCCTGATTCTCCTTCTTCTATCTTCTGAGTATTGGGGTTACTGAGTTCTGAGGCTTGCATCACTATGTCTAGTTTCATGCTGGGGATTGAGCTGTGTTTTGTGCATGCTAACCAAGCACTGTACTAACTGAAGTACATCTTCAGCTCCTGGTTTCATATTTAAAAAACATGCTTAAACCTTTAAGACTAGGTACATATACAGGTATGCATGTTTTGTTTTGGTGTGTGTGTGTGTGTGTGTGTGTGTGTGTGTGTGTGTGTGTGTGTGTGTGTGTGGTGGCTTTGGTGCTGGAATTGAACCCAGGCCTTATACATGCTAAGCATGCACTCAACCACTAATCTACATCCCCAGCCTTGTGTGAATTTTTAGTAGAATTTTTTTTTCATTTAAAACCAATGAAAGTATACTTCTGTCTCTTTGTCTGTATTTGATAGATTGTACTAATGTAGTTCCAGGCCTTTAAAGAAGTTATTATTTGGGGCTGGACAGATGGCTCAGAGGTTAAGAGTACTGTCCAGAGGACCTGAGTTCAGTTCCCAGCAACCACATGGTAGCTCACAACCATCTGTAATGAGATCTGGTGCCCTCATGCACCAGAACACTGCATACATAATAAATAAATAAATAAATCTTTTTTAAAAAGTTATTATTTGTGATCAAATTTGTATGATTTCAACTGATTGCTGAAATTTAAAGAAATTTCTTTCAAGATTAGGGAAGATGAGATTGTGGGCTCAGAAATTGTTCATTATGGTGTTTATGCCATGAGACCTAATTTTTTTTATAGGTTTACAGTGGATTTTACCTTTTCATATGTTGGTAAGAGGGAAAAATAGACAAATTGTAATACCTTTTTATGATTTCAGTAACGTGAGTAAAGAGACAAATGTTTGATCTTTTGTGTGTGTGTGTTTAAAGGGAAATGTTCTGTGCTGTGGGGGTGACTGCCATTCAGGTATGAGAATCTGAGTCCCCAGCACTCATAAAAGCCTGACCTGAGAGTGCATGCTTGTAATTTTGTCTGTAGTTGATAGAATTGATAGAATGCTGAGGATAGGAAAGGAGACAAGAAAATCCCTGGTATTTGTTGACTAGCCAATTTAGCTGAATCTTCGAGGGCCAGGTTCAGTAAACATAAGGTAGAAGGTCCAGCCAGATGGCTCAGTGGTCTCCTGCTAAGCTGATGACCATTTTGAACACACATAGAAGGAGAGAACCAACTCTTCCAAATTGTCCTCTGACCCCATATGCTTCATGACTGTGTAAACTGGCATACAATACATTAAATAAATGTAAAAAGAAGAAAAGCTGGAGAGCAATGAAAGAGGACAGACACCCAATGTCAATCTTTGTTTTCCACATGCATACTTGCCCAGGTACACTCACATGTATGTGAACATGTACACACACACACACACACACACACACACACACACAGAGAGAGAGAGAGAGAGAGAGAGAGAGGAGAGAGAGAGAGCATTCTTATTGAACCTTGAGCAATTTTTATCGTGAAGTCACCATTTAAAGGGAGGTTGAGCATGTAGCTCAGTTTGTAGAATATGTACCTAACATGCACAAATCCTACATTCTATCCCTAGCACTGTGTAAACTAAGCATGGTGGTGCACACTTGTATTCCCAGTGTTTAGGAGGTAGAAGCAGGAGGATCTGAAGTTCAAGGTCATCCATGGCTACATAGTGAGCCTGGAGATAACAGGATGTATGAGACTCCTAGAACTGTTATTCAGGTCCTATGTGTCATGTGTCTTAATAAATTTGGAGTGTTTGAAATATTTTATAGATATGTTGGAAGTTGTGTGGTCAAGTATAAAAACAAAACTTTATAGTTTCTTTCATAGCTCAAACAATTAAAAATAATATTGTACTTAAAATACTATGATTTTGCTGATTGATACTTCATATTCTCATTTGTATCTCAGATGTTTTTCCTTTAATTTTGCAGAGATGCTGATGCCACCAGAATAGACATTTACGCTGGTAAGTCAGACTTTAGGCCTTCTATTGGCTAAGAAGTGAGTGGGAGCCTGGAGATGTCAGAATTTCTTCATGTTATAGGTAGAAATGGGGCAGCTCTGATCACCTAAGTCTTAGAACACAGGAGCTTGAAGAGGGTGGTGGAACCGAGTAGTGGGAAGTAAAATGATCCAGTATTAGTCATCTTTTTGAGAAGACAAGATCTTGTTGGAATTAATCCTTCCCTACTCCAGGTAGCAGAGGTTCTACTCTAGAGAGTTGCTGGTGTCAGTTGCAGAAAATAGCTAGTAGTTTGTGGAGATGTTGAGACCATGTATTAATCAGGGTTCTCTAGAGTAACAGAACTTATAGAATGGATCTCTGTAGAAAAAGTATTTTTTTTTAGAGTGACTTACAGGCTTCAGTGCAGATAATCCAACAATGGCTGACTGAATAGAAAGTGTAAGAATCCAGTAGTTGGTCAATCCACAAGGCTACATGTCTCATTTGGTCTTCAGTATATGTTGGAATCCCAAAGAAGTAGGCTCTAATGGCAGTGAAGGAATGGATGTGCTAGCAAGCTGAGAGCAAGCAATCAAAGAGTAAAAGCTTCCATTTTCCATGTCCTTATATTAGCTACAGCAGAAAGTGTGGTCCAGATTAAAGGTGTATCTTCTTGTCTTGAGATCCAAATCAAGGCATGTGACTTCCTCAAAGGTTCAGACAAGAAGTGAATCCACTCACTTCAAACCAAGCAGAAAATATTCTCACAGGTCTGCCCTTCGTTTCTGGATTCCAGTTAATTCCAGATGTAGTTGACTTGACAACCAAGAATATCCATCACAGACCAACCCTTTGAAATGTTAGGCTTAAAACTGGATGCTGTGGCAGCTTCTACTGTTTTGCTTAATTGGCTCTACTGTTATATTGTAAGATCATCTTTGTCCTAGAGTGAAAGAGTTTTTAGTTACTGTCATTGACCTTTTATTTCCTTTTAAAATAGTTTTTCTGTCTGTTAATATTTATGGCAACACCTTTTCATCATTTTGATACTAAAAACTTGAACAATGGAATAGAAGACCATTCTTAAACCCAATTTGGCTAATGTGTTTTATTTTATTGACATTCTTTCGTGAAATCTGAAAGATTTTTCGGTCATATTTTGAGCAACATGCCTATCTTTTGAAAGTGTTTATGTGGAATATACAGTTACTAGATAACCCTCTTCATGAAATCATTTGATAAATGGGAATAAACACAGAATCTTTAGTGTTATATTGTTAGGAAGACTCTCTAGATAAGGCAAAGTACTTAGGCTAAATTATTTTGGAGAAAAGAAATGAAGGTATTCATAACCCCTACATATCAGCTTTCCTGCCAAAATTCTGAAAGCCTCCTGTTGAAAAGGCTGCCAAAGTGGTAGAAATACTTTGAAGTTGTTGTTTTGGGGGTTTTAGACAGGGCCACACTATGTAACTTTCTAGTCTTAGAGGAAATGAAAGTAGTATTGTAAGAGACTTCAAGATGATGATTGCTAAATCTCCTAGATGGTGCCACCTTTCCAAGCCATAGCTGAGTGTGCATGCGGGAGTGCTGACAGTTACCTCTCAAAGAAACCTCGACTATTCAAACCATTACCCAGAAGATAAAGAAAAATGAGTGTCTACTTCAAGTGATGTTGAAGGAACATATCCTCATAGTTGAGTCTTTGTAAGAAGTTATAAAGAAAAGATCATCTTTGTTCCCTTCTACCGTCTTCATTGGGTAAATTTTAGCAAGGAAATTTAGGAAAATTAGATTTTAAATGGAGTGCTCAGTGTGCTTTCTATTTGCTTTGGGGAAAGTCCAGAGGGTGAGGTGAGGCCTTTGCTATAAGAACCTAATATCTAATTGAAGAAATAGCACACTACAAGTAGTTACAGATAGATAACTAGACTTCGGGGGAACAATCAAAACAGTAACAAGCTGGATATTGTAGTACATGCTGTTAATCCTAGCCCTCAGGAGATAGAGGCAGGGGAATCAGTTCCATCATCTCTGCTGCTTGGGGAGTTCAAAGCCAACCTGGGCTCTATGGTTTTATAGTATTTTAAACTGAATGAAGAAACTTAAAAAAAAAAAAAACAAAAAAAAAAACCTCCCCATGCCCTGTCTGTGTGTGTGTGTGTGTGTGTGTGTGTGTGTGTGTGTGTGTGGGTGGTGGGTTGTTGGTGTGGGTGTGTGTGTGGGTGGTGGGTTGTTGGTGTGGGTGTGTGTGTGGGTGGTGGGTTGTTGGTGTGGGTGTGTGTGTGGGTGGTGGGTTGTTGGTGTGGGTGTGTGTGTGTCAGACAAAAAGCCATATGTGGAGGGTACACATGGAGGCAAGAGATCATTGATCCGCTAGAGCTGGTTAGAGTTGACTATGGGCCACCCAATATGGTTCCTGTGAACTGATCTTGGGTCTTCTGTAAGAACATTATTCTTAATCTCTGAATCATCTCTCTAGCCCCATTTAAAAAAATAAAAATAAAACCAGAAAAACCTTTTGAGACCTTTGAGATAAAGCCTTGAACTAGGAGAGCTTGAACCCACAGTTGAAGCGATAACTGTGCTGAAATAGCCTGACAACCTTACCCTAACACAAAGGCCTAACACAAGTAACTTCTTGGGTATTATTCAAGGAATTTCAGTGGTCTTGGGGACTTTTCAAATGCATTTGGCTCAAAACAATTTTTAGATCCCAAATAAATCTTTACATAATTTTCTGGCATAGTATACAGCAAATAACTCTGGGCAGGTGCTAGGACACTGCTGCCATCAAGCTCTGTACCTTACCCAGTTTGAGTCTCCATGTGTTTCTTATAGATGGAAACTTGGAAAGCTTTTAATACTTTAAAAACAAGAACAACAAAAAACCCTTGTTCCTGCTTGCCACACTTCACTTGGATTACCTAGATTTTAATAAGAGGTACTTCCTTTGAGAAATGTTCTCATGTACTAGGATCTTCCAGGAAGAACCTCACTATGGAACTTTGAAGAGACATTTGTAATGAAGGGTCAGCCTCCTGAACATTGAGAAATACTTAAAAATCTCTGTAGTTTATGGTCCATCTAAAATAGTATTTTAATCTGCATTAGTTTGTCTATTTAGCAGAAGACAGTCATGACTCACTTAGTTTTACCCTGAGGGAAAACAAAAGCATTTAAAACAGATTTGTCAGGATAGATAATTGTACAAAGTGAACTGAAGCTTGGATTCTCCTTTAGGGATTAGTGTCCTTTGGGCTTCACTCTAGATTATTTTACAAGACTTCCTCCTTTTTAGTAGACAAGTTACTTTTATTCTTATGCTAAGCGGTGGACCGTGAATAGCATCTATACTGGGGAGGTTGATGTAAGTAGTTCATATGGTTTATTTGGGTCCCCTGCTTCAGTTTCTGCCTCACTCCCTTCTGTTTTATATCTACATATCTGAGTCTAAGAGTAGCTTTGCCATTGTTTACATAGTCTTCATTGAATTAAAAGGCACCTTGAAAATTAGTGTAGCCTTTTTCCTCATTTGACAATCTTTTCTATTGTCACTGCCTGCTATGAGTTGGCGTTTGGTGCTGCATGAGACAGCTACTGAGATAATTCTTCATGTACTTACTGGAATGGCAGCCACACTCTGTGTTGTGTCCCTTTCCTGTTGACTAGGAAGCTCTGCTACAGCTGTGCTATATCTTATTGCTAGAGGACTGTAATTCTGATCAGGCAGGTCTGTTGCAGAACTAAGAACCTCTTGCTGCATCTTGTGCCATTTTGCTTCTTTTCAAGGGCCCATATCTAGGAGGGGATATGACAGTGAATACAGATAGCTCACAATTTCCAGTTAGTCTAGAGGCAATCATATATAAATATAATAATTTATTATAAACATATAATAAACACATATAAACATAAGCATCTGCCACCATTGTGCTTATACTATATCTGGCATCATTTGAATGATACCTCAGGTTAAATAACAAAGGAAGGTACCTTGTTGAGTTTGAACAGCTGATAAGGTATAGTACATAATAGACTATTTAAATAACTTGGGATCCATGGCGTTGGGCAGATGTAATAGTAAACCATAAGATATGATATATAAGAAAAAAGAATATGCATATTCAGTGGTCTTGAATGTTAAGTACTGATCTCTTCTAGTAGATTATCTGAAGACTTGTTGTGACTTGAAAAAGCACTAGAGAAGCTTCACATCTTCAAGGGCTCTGAAGTTTAACTCATACTAGCTTAGTACTATTAGATGAAACTAAACTTGACCTAACCCTTTTGTACCAGGCTTTGGTTCACCTTCTGTTCCCAGGTTGCCTCCCAGTAAGTAGTAACAGCCCAGTAATGGCAACTGTCTCTTCTACAGAGAGAAGGGAAGACCTTCAAGGAGGATTTATGCTTTGCTTTTTGGATGATGGAGCAGGAATGGATCCGAGTAAGTTGTTTATGACTGTTTCTTTTGCAGAGTTTAACAATTTACTATTAAAGTTGCTTTTCTGTGACCTCACTATTGTGGCTAGAAGATCCACCTGGGGAATAAGAAGCCTGTTGCGACATCTCAGGCTTAATTACAGTGTGTTTGCTGGGTCTTGTCCTAACATAGGAGATGTTTAGACAATACGAATATCAAGCTGAAATCAGTTAGATTACCTGTCTCCTGACAATGTATTTATCAGCTTGCACAACATCCTGGAGCCATAACTACTGAGGCTTCTTTCCCTGAGACTGTTTACCGTGTTCTAGTAATAATACAGGGCACTGTGGTGGTATTGATGGACTAAGCAAGGATTACCTTCCTATACCTCATGACTGAATTTCTTTGGAGAGAGGTTTTGCTGGCACAGAGCCATGCTTGTGTTTAACATAACTCATGTTTCTTAACTTTGAGAAGGCTGGGAGAAAAAATGATAACTTTTTACTTTCTCTTGTCTACCACTTGAGGTGATGCTGCCAGTGTGATCCAGTTTGGGAAGTCAGCCAAACGAACCCCTGAGTCTACCCAAATTGGGCAGTATGGCAATGGATTAAAATCGTACGTATATTAAAAACCTGCTGTAGGGCTAGACACAAAAATCACATGATGTGCTCTTACTGTTCGTCTCTTTGTCCCTCCTGGACTATAACTCTGGAGCGGTAGGAGAGTCAGAAGGATATGATGACTGGGGGTAGTTTACCAACAGTCCAGCTGAATTTTCTCAGTAGATTGAGTAGTATGAATATCTAAAACATTGTTCTCTAGAACTGTCTCTGTCTTCTTATTGAATAATATTTTTATCTCGTGTTTGAGAATGTGGGTGGTTCTTTTCTGGGCCTGGGGCGTATCTGAGATGGCAAGAGAGTCACTTCACAATGTACCAGTATGCGTGTTCCAGACACTGGGGATCCAGAGTGAATAAAAGAAACACAGTTGTCCTGGAATACCCTATGTGGGCATTCTGTAGGGCTATATAGCAGGAGACCCATCTTATACCTTCAGTCTATTGGGATTGATCCCTCAGGCCTTGGTTACCACTTGTTTAGTGCTTAGAATGTGTTCTGTTTTGAGTGAAACCCTGAGAAAAAGGTTTCTATTCTGAAATGCTCACTTCCAGCTGTACATACCTTGGGATGGAATAAGATTTAGTGGAATTGGAGTTTGTGCAAATGGAATTATGAGTCATGTTCCAGTCTTGCTGTGGAAACGTGTTGTTTTATTTGAGAAAGGGTGGTGGTTTGATCTGTCAACAGCCTTGATTGGGCCTCATGTGCAATGTGCTTTGGGTGTGGAGAAGAGAGTGCTTCCAAAGAAACTAGGGGCCTGGTTCCTGGGCTTTGATTTCTTTTCATGGCAGGAACCGAATATTAATAATAAACATTTCCCATGTGCCAGGAAGTACTTTGCTAAAAACTTTATATGGATGATATCATTTAAACTACACTTTAGCTTATGATAGGTAGGTTTTGTTAACATTCTCAGATGAAGTTGAGATATACAGGAGTGAAGTGACTTGCCTAATGGTACAAAGGTGTTTATGTGAAAAGTGAATATATGAACCAGGTCTTTCTGATTAGAATATGGGGGTGACTGTCCATTGCACTTTGGTCTAAGGTTCAGATCTCAATTCAGCCATTTAGTCACTAGAGTTGGGGCTTCTTGAAAATCGATCCTTTTTGGAAAGTATGATCAAAGCTTTGAGAGTCCTTAGTCTGTGAGCATGGTGGGAACCTTCCCTAGAAAATTCTGAAAAGGTAATCTAAGACTTTAAAAACCAAAGACTCCAGTAGAGCCAATTCTAATCTAGTCCTATCAGTTCTGCAGACCCAGCTTTACCTCTCTGATGGTTTCCTAACCTAGAAAATGAGGTTCTAACTTCTGATATTCTCCTTAGGAGCCAGTAAAATGTGATTCAGAAAGTACTTAGAATACTGAGAAGAAATGGGTATAGAATTAGAATGTGGCTTTTATGAAGATCCTATTGAACTGGGGCCATCTAGTGTTCAAAGTTCAGAAGTTATATGAGGTGATTTGTGGTGAGCATAGGGTTTAGCAAAGAAGATGGTGTTTTGGAGTTTCTGCTAATCAGACCCTATAGTCAGGAACAAAAAACAGAAGCAAAGAAAGAGGTATAAAGAAAGTCTTGCCAAATTTGAGTAAGGGCAATGTTGTCCACAAGCTTCAGGGAAAAGATTTAAGGGAAAGAAGCCCTGTCTTCAGGAAAATGAGAATTGATAGCCCTCAGGGTATCTATGTAGTGTCTTGGGAGTTTTCCCCCCAAGTGCTTGTGAAATGGGACATGACATTCATTTGTGTGCCTGGTATGCCAGTCTGGATTGTATATAGAAATTAATGAGGCTTCCTACCATTGTCTTCTCCCAGGAGTATTGTAAGACTAATGAGATAATAGCTTTAAAGCCGAGAAGCTACTTAGAAAAAAGGAGTTAAACAGCTTCATTGTTGAATGGATAGTTCTTGTACTGCTTCATACTTCTGCCCTGCCCTTTGCTGTCTGGAAAAGCCTGTCTCTGCCTGTTCCATAGAGGATTAACATGGCCAAACAGGAAGGAAGCCATTGATTTCATTTAGACATTTGTCAGATGAGTTTTGTTTCCCATTGATTCTGGGGATTGAACCCAGACCCTTGCACATGCTAGGCAAGTACTCTACTTCTCTGCTGAATGCCAAGCTCCAAACTGCCTTGTAGAAGACAAGCTCAAGGCTGTATCAGAATTATCTCAAAGTAGCAAAGCAATCCTGAGACTAAGAATGGCTAGAGTCACTGCACATGGATATAGGCCTCCTTGAACTATTTTTAAAGATCAACTTTTGAGCTGGGCCTGATGGCTTGATCAAAAATCGGTTGTGTTTGCAATGACTCACAGAGCGTAACAACCACCCTGGGAGGGCCTATGGGCCATAACAACCAGTTGATCAATCAACACAGGGCAAACCCTCCAAGCCTGGAGCCACACCAATCCTGAGCCTGTGCGTACCCTTAGATACTCCCCTTACACTGCCCTATAAGATCTCTATGCAGATGCTTCGAGCCATCTTTCCTAGCCATCCGCCATGGTGGGTGGATGAAAGACCCGAGGTAACATGGGGTTAGCTCGTTAAACAACTACAATAAAGCCTCGTGTAGTTTGCATCCAAAAGAAAAAAAAATCAGTTGTGTTTTGATAAATGTTGAATTCATGCTGGTTTTTGAAAGACTTATGAGACTCTCTTTTGACTCTTCTCTTGACAGTAGACAGGAAGGGATTCTATGTTAGTGAAGGACAGGATAGGAACAGGATGTTGCCCAAAAGGAAGATGATATCAAGGTGTCCACTACTGGAGATGAACTTGATGGTGTCATAGAGGACCCCATTAACCTAGAACTCAAGCAGGTTTACTTGTTATGGTTGTGGCAGTAAGCTGGGAGGGAAACTAACCTGGGGCTTGTGGTCTGAGTGAATATATTTTTGAAGGATGGTGAAAAACCTTGAGTGGAAGGGAAGTTTGCTCAAGGAGGTTATAGACTAAGGAATTAGAGACCATTAGGAAGGCACAGAAGGAGTGCTGACTGAGTGGGAAGGGGACAAGGGCTGTGGGACTCCCCAGGGACCCTTTTGGTCATGCTCAGTTGTGCCCAGAATGTGTTCTCCCTTTTTAGATGAGCTTTGAGTCCTTGGGAAAATGATCTGTTTCCTGTTTGCCTTTCAGGGGCTCAATGCGCATTGGGAAGGATTTTATCCTCTTCACTAAGAAAGAAGACACCATGACCTGCCTCTTCCTTTCTCGTACCTTTCATGAGGAAGAAGGCATTGATGAAGTAGGTTTTATCCTTGTGGCTTGAGTTGACACAAGTCATTTACTGGATTTTTCTATGGTTCTAAGCTCCTTGGAGTTGTAGAATTGGAGCACTTGCCTGCTCTTATGGGATGAGATGGGTGGATGCATAGATTGGACGGTGGTAAGGCAGATCATATTTTTATGAGAGAGAAAGTGAAATTTCAAGGTATTTCAGACAATAGCTTTTCTGTTTCTGAGAATGAGACTAGAGCTTGAGAGGGGATCTGGGATGTGTAGAAAGAAATTCGTAGCTGTTCTATAAGTAGATTGCCCAGTTGAGAATTTCAATCTCTTCTTCTGTGTTGGTTAGCAGTGATTGAATTTGTAGTGGTCCTGTTTAGATCTGAGGATAGATTTGTGGTAAACTAATTGATGTTAAAACAGGTACCTTTTCCTACCATTTTTATTTATCCACTCAGTTGATTTGTTCAAATACTAAATGCCATTTGTTACCCTATTCAGCATATTTGGAGAGAGATACACTGAGGCTGTAACTTCTAGAAGATAGGACAGGAAGACAACCTGGGCTGAGGTATTCAGAAATGTTGCCTGGTGAAGGAGTCTTGAGTCAGTGAAAACATCCTTCTTAAGTTCCTGAGGTTGATGCTGGGGAGAGAAGTGGTCTTTGGAGAACAGGGTGTGGCCAAGTTGGGCTAATGCTCAGGGCCTTGTTTGAGTGAATGGGATTTTAATCAAGCAGTTCCTAGTATCAGAATCTCTTTAGAAAAGTCTGTGTGGTTACTTTAAAGTGTTTGGATTAGAAAGATTTTGAGTGGACCACCTGAGAGGTCCTGACTATGGTATCAAGCTGGGAGGTGAAAAAAAAAAGTTTCTAGAGTATGAGACACACTAGTGCAGTATTGATTATTGGAGTGGGAAAGGAAAGGATTAAAGAGACTTGCAAGTTCTGTTGTGGCAGTTGGGGGTAATGGGCCATTACCTGGAAAATGAATGGAAGAGGGGCAATATGGAGAGAGGACAATGTAAACTAGTTTGGGGCATGCAAGTAAAGTCTGTGCCTGGAGTTTGGGGACATTATCTCTTTTTTTCTTTCTTGGGGGGAGGGGCTACATCCCCAGTCCTAGGCTCTGGGATTGTTGGTAGCAGATAAGATCACTTAAAAAAGAAAGTGGAACAAGAAAAGGACTTGAGACCCAAGCAGGCCAACATTGAAAGGTGTGCATGAGGAGAAAGTCTAGGAAGAAAATGGGGAGGTTTGTGACATAAAAGCTGAAGGAGAAATGCCAAGTAGGAGCGGTAATGAAAGTTGGTGCCTACAATTTAAAGTGGTGCTGTCCTCACTCACCTGGGACTGTTTAAAAATAGAAGATATAGATACATATTCACAGAAAGCAAATGGAACTTGATTCCCTTGGTAGAAAAGCTAGATGAAATTTTTTCCTTACTTGGAGCTAGAAGGTCACTGTTTTGGATTGTACTCTAGTGCAGACTCTGCCAAGATTTCAAAATAAGATCATTTTCAGCCCATGAGGAATGTGTCCAAACCAGCCCCTGTAGCTGAATGATTTCAGCATGAAGCTTCTTAGAAAACCAGCAGTGTTGGTGCTTCTAACAAGTTATCACCCAGGCATGCATTAAGATACTGAATTCCTTTGTCTTATTTAGGGGCGGTTGGCTTGAACCTCTTGCTTCATTTGGTTTGCTGCACAGAGTGAATCCCTTCAGCCAGCCCCCTGCTGAGCTCTGCAAGGGCTGCTGACTTTGAGCAAGGGATGAGGACATGCTGAAGCCACTAGGGAAGATTTTTGAAGAAAGGGGATTTCTTTTTTTAAATTAGACATAAAATTAAATTCTATATATGTTGAGGAATTATTATCATAAAGCACACACACACATGTAGCCATAATTATAAACCAGAGTTCAAAGCCCCCATTAACACCTGACCTATGTAGTTTTCAGTGTGCACCTGGGGGAAGTCACCTTCTGGTAACTTTTAGAGTGATCATGTCCTTTTTTTTGGGGGGGGGGGCATTGTTTGTCACTAGTATATGTGTATTAGTTTTTACACATGTACACATGGACTGACAATATAGAAATTCACTTGTATCTCTTTCAGATAAGACTGTGTTTGTGAGATCCATCCATGTTGATGTTTGTAGCTGTGCCTTTATTCATTTTTATTACCATAGAATATTTCAGTTTAGTTACTCTGTAGTGAATATTTGGGTTATTCCTATATGTGTATGCTGGTAAATATGTACAACAGTTCCTTTGGGGGTATTTACCCGGAAGTAGAATTCTGAGTTGTAGGTTATATTTTGTATCTCTAGATTCATTAGGTAATGGCAAATATATTTTCCCTTAGTGGTTAAAGTAGAATTTTTACCAAATTAATGAAATGGCCAAAGATATCCCAGATAGGCACAAAGACCTCCAAAGCACAGGCTAGCATAGCATAGATAGGAGTTTGGGGAAGGACCGCAAGCTGCAGACTTGATGCCAGACTACACAACTGAAGAGAAAAGAAAGCTGCATGTTTTGGGGAAGATGGCTCTGGAGCCCCAGTCACAGTGGCTATCTGTGCTCACCCAAAACAAAGGTGATAGTTCCATTGCCTACCTGGAATGCTCGAACACGGGAACCTGTCACAGACAATGTGGAGAAGTTTGCCATTGAGACAGAGCTCGTCTACAAGTATTCTCCCTTCCACACTGAGGAGCAAGTGATGGCTCAGTTCATGAAGATTCCCGGGAATAGTGGTAAGTAGGTTTTGGACATGTAGCCTAGAGAACCCAGGAGCTCTCGAGCCTCTAGTAGTGTAGGAGTGAGCCAGGGTACGCTGGCAGAGAGAAAGGATTTCTGTCCCCCAGGAACACTGGTGATCATCTTTAATCTCAAGCTCATGGACAATGGAGAGCCGGAACTAGACATAATCTCAAACCCAAAAGATATCCAGATGGCAGAGACCTCCCCAGAGGGCACGTGAGTATTGCTGGAAGGGTGGCAGGCCCTGGAACTGGTCTTTACTCCCTTAGGAGATGACTTCAGGGAAAAATGGAAGAGTCCCTTTCCTGGCTTTCTCTTGGTGGCAGTATTTATAGAGCTAAGAGCTCCTCCCACCTGCTTAATAGCAGATAGTGGCTCCTCAGCGAAACTAAAGCAAAGATTAATGATGCCCTGTTCAACTCTTTGATTTGACAGAAGAAACTGAGACCTGGATCTAGTGGTGGTTAAATTTCCCTGGGTTCTCTTTAAGGACCAGGTGAGGTGTCTGTGGGGCACTTGTGCTAGGGATGTGACAGGGCAGGAACCTAGTACCTATGATGAGGGGCCATCCTGGTCAAAGTGCAAAGAGAAGCCAGGATATGAAATGAAAGTTGAGGAACTGCAGAGAGGCAATCAGTCCATAGCTTTGGGCTTACTGTGGTATGGAGACAGTACTTCTCAGTTCCTGCTATCTCCAGGAAGCCAGAGCGACGCTCCTTCCGAGCCTATGCTGCTGTGCTCTATATTGATCCTCGGATGAGGATCTTTATTCATGGACACAAGGTGCAGACCAAGAGACTCTCCTGCTGCCTGTATAAGCCCAGGTAAGAGCTTAGCTATCATGATACGGGCTGGGAAATGGGGCCTGGCGGCAGTTTTTCTGGGGTGATGTTAAGGTGGTGCAGTGAGAAGACTCTTAACACTGCTGATTGTACCTGTTTACCAGAGAGTCCTCTCCCTGATAAGGACAGAAGTGACAGGCAGGCTGCTAGGTTGGTTGGCCAGACCCGTTAAGGGAAGTGCCTTCTGAGATGTGGAGAATGGCACTGTCTTGTCTCAAGTTCAGGGAGGACCCTATACAGGGAAGGAAAAGCAGTGGCTCATTACCAAGGTTTGCTACAGCTATGAGATTAGTGATGCCTGCTGAACACCAAAGACACATCAGGAGACCAGGGACAGATTGATTCGAAAGGAGTTGAATCATTTACTAAAGTGAACTTGGATTTGTTTCATTACGAGGAGCCAGGGTAGCACCACATAGGAAGAGGCTGGGTGCTTCCTGAGCTGCTCAAGTTGGTTGCCTGCCCCACTGCTGCTTGGTGCTCAGGTTGCTTTTTCTACTCTTCAGAATGTACAAGTATACATCAAGCCGTTTCAAGACTCGAGCAGAACAGGAAGTGAAGAAAGCAGAGCATGTAGCACGGATTGGTAATGCTACTCCCTGTGTTAGGAGGAGGGATGGAGTTGGGGACACTGCTTTCATCCAAACCCTGGGACTGTTCTCCTACCTGGATCCAGTTCTTCTCCAACTCTCCCCATATCTAACCCATCTGCACTGTCTCTCAGACTAGACTCTCCTCCCAGTACTTATAGGACTTTATGCAGGGCTGAAGTGGCATAAAACACAACCTATACTCTCTTATTTAAGTCAGATACCAAGCCAGATATAGAGTCAAGAACAGTTGAAATATCTCACTGCATACTGCTTCAGGTTGTCCTGACTCTGGGACAGAAATCTCAAGGTTTCTCTCCAGGAATAACTACAATTTTCTCAGCTGTTTGGTGGGGGTGATTGTCTAAAGCATTCTTAACATGCCAGTTCATGTTGAGGGTTGAGTTCCCATTGGATAATTTTTTAACAACTGTAATTCATTTGTGAAGCTTAGAAAGTATGAAGTATAAATAATGTTTTCTCTGGGGTTATGATTTTATTTGAGATAGACTTACTTTATATCTCATGTTGGCCTCAAACTCAATGATCCTTCTGCCTTAGCCTGCAGAGTGCTGTAATAATAAGCATGTACCATCTTGTCCATGACAGTTTTGAATGTCAGTTGGGTTTTTTGGGGGGGTTTGTTTGTTTGTTTTTCTGAAACAATTCTATAGTTCAGGCCCAGAGGCTGCCCCATGTGGCCATTGCTTCCCTAGGTAGCCTTTTCCTTGTTAGCATACACTTCTTGTACAGCAGGAACTGCTCTGTGGATCAAGGAAGGATGACAGAGTTCTGAACTTTTGATTTCTTCTGGGTTTAGCTGAAGAGAAGGCCCGGGAGGCAGAGAGCAAAGCTCGGACATTAGAAGTACGCATGGGTGGAGACCTGACACGGGACTCTAGGGTAAGTCCTAACATATATAACATTGGGATCCAGTATCCTCACCTTAGTAAAATGAAAAACAGTAAGGTCACTTTTCTGTAGAAAGAAATAACCTTCAGGTGTGTTTTAGCATCAGTGTAGAAATCTTATATTACTTAATGTAGCATAGAGCACCTCTTCCCTTCTCCTGAAGGTCATATATTTGCAGGTAATGTTGCGGCAGGTCCAGAATACAGCCATCACCCTGCGTAGAGAAGCTGATGTCAAGAAAAGGATCAAAGATGCCAAGCAGCGGTGAGTACTTGTACAGTCCTTTGGTCTTTTAATATTAGGTAGCATTTTCACTAACAGATTGCCATTTGGTACCAAGTTTATTTTGAGAAAACCATCACTGCTGATCAGATGATTCTGATCCTCAGAAGGCAGGCAGAACCAACACTTCACTCACACTGCTGTCCTTTTTACTTTCTTTTCTGTTAACGTTGTACAAAATGCCCATTGTGTAAAACTTGAAATATATAAACATTTAAATAAAAAATGTGAAACTCCCTTATTATTCTGAAAATATGTGCTCTTATTATATGTTCGTAATTCATTCTGTCCAATGGTTATAAATGTAGAATGATACTATAAATTGAGTTTTGTGTCTTTTCATTTAGAATATATTGTTGTGGGTCTGAATCATCATGTCTCTCACCCTGACTCTGTGTAGAGCTTCTCGGGCTCTAGGGCATGAATTCCTAGCTAGACTCCAGGTTGCTTCCTTACCACAGGAGGAAGTTTCAGGTCACTTCACTCTAACTTGTCCCAAGATTTTCTTGACATGTCATATGCATGTCTTCTCTCACATATTCTTGTTAATTTTTTGTCTTTAAAACTATTACTGTTACATAAACCAGACATGATAGTGAATACCTTTAATCCCAGAACTTGGGAGGTAGAGATAGGTGGCTCTCTGTGAGTTTGAGACCAGCTGGTGAGTTCTGCGACTCTTGTCTTAAAAACAAAATAAAACAAACTGAACTATTGCTGTTACATAATTGGGATTTTAAGGAAGGTATGAAGGTATGATTATAATGTTATGTTTATTCTATCTAGCTCTCTCTGCAGAGATTTGTGGCAGTTTCACAATAACACATTCATATTTAAATCCATCCCTGTTTTGCTACATAAAAAAAAAAACCAGAATTCTGTGTTTATATGGAGGGTCACTGAACAGTACAGATCCTTATCAAGTCTAGCATCACACATTGACTGGAAATGGAAATTTTAATTTGTCTCAAAAAGCTTAACACATCTTTATCACCATGTTGTTTTTGTATTAATGAGTTAATAGGCTTAACCTTTTTTTTTTTTTTTTCCTTGTCTTTATTAGAGCACTCAAAGAACCCAAGGAACTGAATTTTGTTTTTGGGGTCAATATTGAACATCGGGACCTAGATGGCATGTTTATCTACAATTGTAGCCGTCTGATCAAGATGTATGAGAAAGTGGGCCCACAGCTGGAAGGGGGCATGTAAGTACTGCTCTAGGAGAGTTTTCCAGCCCAGGGTGCATGGCAGAAAAGTTTTGATTACAGCCATGACCTCTTTGTCCTTGCAGGGCATGTGGTGGGGTTGTTGGGGTTGTTGATGTGCCCTACTTGGTTCTGGAGCCTACACATAACAAGCAGGACTTCGCTGATGCTAAGGAGTACCGGCATCTACTTCGAGCAATGGGGGAACACTTGGCACAGTACTGGAAGGACATCGCCATTGGTAATGGGGCCAGCCACCAGGCCTCAGCCTCTCTTTTATCTTGAGCCTTAAGATGCTTTTATGGCTTGAGAGGGTGAGTTTAGTTAGGAAGACAGTGAGGCTTGCTTCTAATGTAATATGTGGGCATTTGCCTTCTAGCTCAGCGTGGAATCATTAAGTTTTGGGATGAATTTGGCTACCTTTCTGCCAACTGGAACCAACCCCCATCCAGTGAGCTTCGTTTCAAACGTCGGAGGGCTATGGAAATACCAACCACTATCCAGTGTGGTGAGTTGAGTGGTGGGAATTCTCCAGACTGCTATAATGATACTCTTCTCTTCAGCCTCATGCTGGTCTTCTTCTGACTTGATTAATATTCATAAACTTGGGTTCCACCAGGAATAGGATTTGTTTGGTAGTGGCTCTGTGAGCACAGTCTTGAGGCTGTGCTAGTTCCTCCATAATGAGGTAGACAGTCAGCCCACCTTGGAGACATTTCACACCACAGCTGGGCCAGGCTCAGTAAGTTTGGTGCCATGTTATATCTGGTATGAATAAATGACTGAGCCTAGAGCAAGGAAGGGCTGATGGCATTAAGATATCAGTCTGTCCATAAAGTGAATGAATCAGTTTTGTAATAATAGATGAAGAGTGTTGAAAGTCCAGGACATACTTGTTGGGGTCCTAGCAGTGAGGAGCCTGGCTTCCAGTAACTGTTGATAGGTGTGGCTGACCTGTAGGGAGGGGTGTTTTTTTCTCTTGCAGATTTGTGTCTGAAATGGAGGACCCTCCCCTTCCAGCTGAGTTCAGTAGAAAAAGATTATCCTGATACTTGGGTTTGCTCTATGAACCCCGATCCTGAGCAGGACCGGTGAGCCTTTCTTCAACAAGGATTGTGATTACTCTTCTCTCCTTGCTGTAGTTTTCTTTCTGTTGCTGTGATAGACATCAGGACTAGAAGCAATTTGGCTTATACTTCCAAGTACAGTCCATCATTTAGAGAAGTCAGGCAGGAATTCAAGCAGGAACTTGAAGTAGAACCATGAAGAAACTCTGTGTACTGTCTCAGTAACTCAGGCTCAGGGTTAGCCAGCTTTCTTAAACAGCCCAAGACTGCCTTGGGATATTACCATCCATAGTGGGCTGGGCGCCCCCACGCCCCCATATCACTCAGCAAGGCATCCCCTAACAAACTTGGCATGCCTACAGGGCAGTCTGATCTAGGTAATTACTCAATCTGGGCTTTCTTCTCAGATGACTGTAGGCTGTGTCAAGTTGACATTTAAAGCTAACCAACATTCATTAAGCCCACCACTGTACCTTCCACTCTTAGGGTATTTTTTGAGGTCAGTGTTTCCATAGCTTCACATCTCTGGTTGCTGCCCAAGAAGGAGGAATAAATGTTGTCCTGTAACACATACCATTTTTATACATTGGAAGCTCTGTGGTGGTTGCAAGACAGCAAGTCTCTGTCCTGTTGGAATCTTGTTTTGCCACCAGTTTCTTCTCTTTACAGCTGTGAAGCTTCTGAACAGAAGCAGAAGGTTCCCTTGGGGACATTAAAAAAGGACCTAAAGACACAGGAAGAAAAGCAGAAGCAGCTGACAGAGAAAATTCGCCAGCAACAGGAAAAGCTAGAAGCTCTTCAGGTATATAGATAGTCATGGGCAAGTGGGTGTCTGTGTCAGCAGTCTGTCCAGCATAGAAGCCTTCAGTGACTTTCTTGTCCCTTCCACTCACCATGTATTCCCACCAAGGTTTTCCAGCCAGGAATTTCAAACACTTTTCCAGTGCACCTTGCTGATTAATTAGGTAACAAACTATTTTGTTTATATATCCAAATTGGTCCGATGTATTTAGAATGTATAAGCATTGCAGGAAATAAATATCCTATCATAGAAGAAATCACTATTAACTCAACCGTTTTATAACTTTTTTTTTCCTTTCTCCTCCTATCGGGAATTAAACTAGGACTTTGTATGTTTTAGACAAGTTATACCACTGAGCTATATAACTAACCCTTTCCTTGTTTGTTTGGTGTTTTGGGGCAGGGTTTCTCTGGGTAGTCCTGGCTGTCCTGGAACTCACTCTTAGAACAAGCTAACCTCAAACTCACAGAGATCCGCCTGCCTCTGCCTCCCAGCCTATTTTATTTATTTTTATTATTTATTTTTATTTTTTAATTTATTTTATTTCACTTATTTTTATATTTAATTTTTTTTATTTAAGTCTCACTGAGTTCACCTTAAGTTCAGGCTGATCTTAGACTTAAGATTCTCTGGAGTAGCTCTTTCCAATTTTGCATGAGTGCCTATACTTAAAAATCTCTATAATTTTTAGTAGTCACAGGGAGCCATCCTGTGTATATATAATATATGCATATATTATTTTTAATGCAAATTTGTGAGATTGGAAAAGAGTTTGAAAAATGTTAAAGCTTTAAAAAAAATTCTCCAGGGGGTGGTGGCACACACCTTTAATCCCAGCACTGGGGAGGCAGAGGCAGG